TTGCTGATCTGTTATTCCGTGTGCTGGTTCCTGCTTGTTGCTGCTATTTCCTCTGCTCTTGGGTGTTGTGCTGCTGCTTCAAGATTCTGCTTCAAGATTCTGCTCCCAAATCACTCACATTCTCACTCCTCCCTTCATCTTATAATGTATCATTTTTTGCAACCCTAAACTTGATGATGTTTCAGTTGATAAATCTGAAATCTAATCTGGGTAGTAGTGATAGTAGTTTCATTATGTATTGGTATATGTATTGTGAATTTTAATCAATGAAAATGGTGACTTTTTTTAATTGCTTGTTGATATTACTCTAATTTCAATGCTATTTATCTGCTGGATTTGTGGTAATGTTATGAAATAATTGTGGCTACAGATTTGGGATGCCTCCGTATTTGGTTTAATATAAGAAAAGCTAAAAAAATGTGTTTTATAAACATTTTAGTCCTCCCCTTTACAAAATACTTGTATAAGAAAGTTTTATAAAGTGATAATGTGAATGATTGTACGCCTTATTGACTAGTACAGTAATATTCTAATGCTTATGCCACTTGTGTAACGTAATCTCATACATCTCCAATCTTATGTTACCTTTGAGGCTTTGAGTGTTATTGGATGATCATGAATATCAAGGAACAATGAAGATAATTTGGGTGGACTAGCATTATTACTGGAATGAAAATGATACAAATGATATATCTTGTAATTAAAATAAATAAGTAATCTAAAACGATATTAATAATGCCGTTGGCCTAGATCTAGGTGATATAAACCTTTGTATAAACCTAAGCCGTTTGATTAGATCTACATTTATTAACATTAATTGTATTTACTATTTAGCCATTTAGGTTGTAAATAATTCAATTTGAGTTAAGCAGTTTGTAATCGGATCAGTTTAAACAGGTTGCGATTCAAAAACAGTTAGATTTTAACGGTTTAACGGGTTATGGCAGTTCAGTTTAGACGGTTAGCGGATTATAACAGTTCGGTTTATACGTGCGGTTTAAACAGTTTCGGTTCATAAACAGGTCGGTATAAACGGTTAGCGGGTTACAAATGGTTCGGTTTAAACGGTTTTTTTCGGTTTAAACGGTTTCGGTTTATAAACGGTTCGGGTCATTAACGGGTTTATAAACCATTCGGTTCGGTTTCGTTTCGGTTCGGATTTGCGCAGTTTGGTTTGTTATCGGTTTACGGTCCGTAACGGGTTGACATTGAGCGGTTCAATTCGATTTCGGTTTGATATTGAACGGTTCAGTTCGGTTTTCGGTTTATATTTATCGGTTTATAAACGGATCGGTCCGTGATGGTTCGGTTCGGTAACGGGCGGTTTCACGGTTCGGTTTGAAAAGTCCCACCCCTAGATCAAACCCCTGCATTCGCTGCTTGAGACGACGTACAACAAGCTGGGCATCGCTTTCAATAATCACTCTACTGTACCCCAACCTGCACGCCAAGAGCAGCCCATACCTGCAAGCAGCAGCCTTGTAGCTTGGCCAATGTGAGCATCACAATTAATTTTAACCCAACCAACCCCTGGCACTTCCACGAAGACACAACAGGAGTGAGCATTGCAGGGGGCTTGAACACCCTACTAGCATACTCCCCATAATCAGTAACATACTTCATCATTCTCGCAGCAACCATAAGTAATTTTTTAATTATTAATAAATGGTGAATATTTTTTTACTGTATTCTTTATCAATCTAGCTATATAAAATGACTAACTTTCAAACATTTACCTAAAACGTACTAACTTGCCTCTAACTAACACCACTTCTCCCTAATCGAACCTAAAACCACCTAAAATAGCAATCCTGCAATGAAGTGGATGAAAAAAAAGGTGCATAAGGCATTGGTACGTCGACACCAGCAATCCTCACAATAGGTGCATCAACATATTCAAAGCTATCCTCAATAATAGATGTACTGTCAAGAACATCAGAGTATGTGAACAGGTGTAGCAAATCAAGCAACACAAGGAGATCAAGAGAAACAGAAAACTCACATCAGCCTTAATAATTTCAGGTAAGCTGACACACTTGTTTATGTAGTTCTGCTCTTATAGTCTTATTCAGCATCAGTATTATTGATTGATCTTAGAAAATTTTAAGTGGGTCAGAAAAATTTGCAATGTGGTGTTATAGTAGAGTCAAGCAGACAGCAGGCGTTTTGTCTCGACATTTGAATAAAATTTTCTCCTACTATTTCTCAAATAAATGAGCAGAAGATGCTGAGCATCCACAATTACACGACTGGAAGTGCCTAAGTCATCAGTGATATGTGCCAACAGACTTAAAAGTTCTGACTAAAACCTTGACATGCGCAATATCCCAGATAACTTTATCCACTTTCATCTTGAACATATGAATTAAACCATCATTCTTAGGATATGTGCCTCTCAAATATTGGGTTTTATTGCTCACATTATATCATTCTGACTACAAGGAATTTACATCCCCTAAGGTAACTTCATAGTTCTGTAGCATATAGCTAAAATATTCTAATGTAGCTTTCTGTCTTGTCGTTTAAGACAAACCGAGTCTCTTGATTATATTGCTACAGAAAACCACATAATGCAAAGAAGGTGCACCAAGGAAGCTAAACCAATAATACAAAATTTAAAACCAATAATACAGAATTTAAAACCCGTACGATACCACGGAATATAGATTTAGCCCTGAGAATCAAGTAGTTGTATTGCATTAGCTTGAGGAAATTTTAATGAAAGGAAATTTTAATGAAAGGAAATTTTATATCTTGCCACAGATAATGAAAGGAAATTTTTAAAAAAAAGGAAGCGGATGAAAAAAGAAATGGTTTATTCCAAACCTGAGAATCAAGTAGTTGTATTGCATTATCTATAACTTCTGATGAAACATTTCCACTACGTGTTGCCTTCAAAACCTGTGCCATCATAGAACCAACTGCATCAAATTTTGTGTTCAATATTTGATTTTGTTTAGCAAGATCCTCATTTTGCTTCTTCATATCTAACAATGCAACCTTCAACTTCTCCACTTCCATATCACTATTGTTGACATAGTAAGACCCTTCTTTCCTTAAATGTCCTTCCACTCCAAAGATGTCGCTTTGCTTCACACCAAAGCCATAATTTAGAGGACGCTTAGGGATCTCGCCTTGATACATAAGTTGATTGAAAACTTCATTTTCAATATCAACCTTGGGAATGGAAGAAGAGGAGTTATCAAGGCTTTCTTGCACCTTCTTGCTTGCATCCTCCTGTTACATGATAAGAAAACTATAAGACTTGGCAAAGAGCTAATAAATTAGTGGTTAAACTAATTTTCATTGGTATATATACCACAAACTGACGAGATGTTGTGCCCTCTTTGAAGCTTCCATCTCCTTCGCTGTAAACACTTTTAAAAAACTCCAATTCACTGAAATCACCTTTTTGTTTTTTCTGCAATGTGAGAAACATACAAATATCTGACATTTAACTTCTGCTATTTTAAGTCTTTTAAATTGACGAAGTTACATTTTCTTCCAAATCTTGTAAGATAGTCAAACAGAAAAAAAACACTAAATGCAAATTTTAGGACTAAATAAAATGAAGGATAATTATACCAAAATAGCTCTGCGATTTGCAAAGCTTTTAGCACCAATCTTGCGCACGAGAACTTGCGACGCACGAGCAGCTTTTCCGAGTTCAGACATTTTCTGTTTATTTAAAATCATGGTTAGCATGAGATAGAAATGAAGTTACATCACACTAAAACCACTATAATCAGAATATAACGGATTTGCTTGTGTCATTAGGTAGTGAGTTGGTCTGATGGAAGCTAGCCTCTGTTCTCACTAACACGTGTACTGTGTAAATATAATGGATTTGAGATCTCTAAACCTTATCGTGTGACTAACTATATCTGATGGGATGCAATGCTGACACAAGCAAACGACTATTGGCAACAGCAAGATAATAGGGAAGGAGAGAATATGTAGCTTATTAGAGAGACAAAAAAGGAAAAGGGTTGTAGCATCAGCGGCGAATACAGGAGGTCCATTACTGTTGTTTCATTGTGTATACTTAACTCTTTTCTCTCTCTGATTTGTTCCTTATAAAGCTATAAGACTGTAAGTTTATAGATTTTCTGGTCATAAGTTATCGCTTATGAAGAATTAGAGGACATTGTGGGAGGAGTTGATCAGCATAAACAACATAACCACCAAAATGTTTATCACACATCTAGGATTGTTCATTTATTATATCCTACTAAAATGTTACTAACAACTTGACAACATACAAAACGGTTATACAGAGCTAATCTATAAACAAGAAATTCCCGTAAAAATCAAAATGCAAACCTTGGCGTCCGATGAAAGCCAATAATCAACCAGAAAACTCCAATTTTGAGTTGTGATTTCATCAGGTATACTAGCATAATTTTGCTCACGCGTTTTTTCCACGGAATCAAAATAATCCTTCTTTAATGCATATATATGATTTTTCCATGCTTTGTCAATACGCTTCAAAATAGCATTCCTCATTTCCTTTCCATCGGGTAACAGAAAATGTGCCTTAAAGTAAATGTACAAATAAAGTTACGTTAAGATTAATCTATGTAGCATATATAACTTATAGCGTATCATACAACATGTGAGTTATTATTGTGGCATTCATAATTATATCATATATCAGAGAACCATAGCATATGTCAGGCATGCAATAGATTATAAGTGTAGTAATGAAAGTAAGATTATATATTCATGGTGAACGATTAAAAGGCGTACCCGAACAGGGTTAACAATATTGCCTCTCATATTCGAGCTCAACTTATGCCAATTTCAAATTCCCACGGGACAAAATTCTTCTCGTTTAGCAATGTCTCCTAAGAAACTCACAAGGATGGAGCCACCTTTGTGAAGAGGTTGGTTGAATTCATTAAATTGGACGAAGTACCTAAATCCTGGTGCATCATTCCACACATCTCGAGGCTGAACAGAACCCTTCACAAGGTGTCGTGTTCCATCAACATCTTTGAAAACAATGAAATTAGATAAGTGTTAAACAATAAAAAAAAAAACATTCGAAAAGGAAAAAAACAAAGCACATAATATTAAATATGCATTTACACTTACCAAATGCCACAACCTCTTCTTCCTCATCAAACTTGACATGCTCTGGCCAATTTTTCACAATACTTCGGCGTCTAAATTTTGTTCTTTTCACACCACTGTCCACTCCACCTGACTCATGCAACTCTTCTTCACTCTCTGATTGAGATTCAGGTTCGTCAGAGTCAAAATTTAACCTCTTGTTGCTTTCAGCATGAATATATGCAGGAGACTTATCCTTTTGGAGTCCCGTTGAACAAGTTGTATTCATTTGAGGTTGTGTCAAGGGTTCACCTCCAAAATTAGAAGACGTCATAGGATGCTTCTTTTGAGTTTGTTGCATAGCTTCCAGGGGTGAAACAACTCTTCTTTCTAATTGGGATTTAGCTCCAGTCAAAGAAGAGACAATAGGTTATTGTGAAGCTCCCACCGGCAGTGCACCTGTTTTAGCTCCAGGAAAAGGTTGTTTACTCGGATGTTCGGTAGCTTTTTGAGGTTGCTTTGATGCTTTAGTCGGCTGAGTTGTTTCTTTATGAGGGACTTGTGTTGTTTCTTGTGACGGAAGTGCACCAGTTTTAGCTTTAGTAAAAGGTGGAATAGTCGGATGCTCTGTAGCCTTATGATGCTTTGATGGTTTAGTAGGTTGAATTGTTCCTTTGTGAGGCTGTAGTGTTTCTTTAAGAGGGAGTTGTGATGTTTGTGGTGTTACAGATTGTAACATAGGATACGATCTAGGTTGTGATGGGGTTAAAGGAGGTTTTGATGACATCTTTTGTTGGGAGTTTGATGGCATTATAGTTGGCATACCTGCTTCTGATGCAGCAGCTACAGATGAAGATGATGTAGATGTGGGTTTTGATGCATTAATAGAAGATTTGTTTGGTTGCGATATGTGCCCAAACGTTTGTGATCTTCCAAGTGTTGGAGGGCTAAATGGTCCCCATTGGGTGGATTGGTTAGAAGACTCTGAAAAGTTGGATTGTGACACTGCAATATGGCTGGACTTAGACTGTAAGGATGTCGAAGTGGGCTGCTTATTTAAAGAAATTGAGCCTCGCCAGGGGGTAAAGCAGTTCTTTTACTTCTGCAACTCATTATGAGGCACCTATTAACAGAAACAAATACAACTAGTCAGAAATTATGTGTGCAGCATAGGATATCAGACAGGTTTCAATTTTCTGAATCGAAATGTGAAAATGAAGTCGAAGGAAGTAGAGTATGCATACAGGTGACAGTTCTGCTAAACCTCAGTAATCAATCTGCAAATAGCTGAGCATAATCAAGTAAATCAACTCAGATTACTGATTTACTACGTATACCTGAGTATGCCAATTAAAATTCTTAGCTTAAATTGTTGAGTTGGTTTTTAATAATATCGATCAATGCATCAGTCTGTCGAAATCCACATACAACTTTCTGATTTCTTTGTGTTCCTCAATTTGTTTGCAGAAATGGATCGAATACAAAAGGGTACTGCAATGCACCCACAAGCTCCGCCCTTTTTGGTGTATAGCAGGAGACCAAGGGGGGAACAGGATCAGCAGCAGAAGCAGAGGCCTTCTCCACCTCTCACTTGAGCAACGGTTTACTGATATGGGCAGGGAGCATGTTTTGTTATATTAGCTCTTTTACTGTGGTAACTTTAGCTTGTTGACAAGTTGTAGTAAATTAGAAATTAAGGCTTTTGTCCATATATGTATGAGTTGTAGTAGTATAAATAGGAAGAGACTAAAGTAGAGGAGGTAGGCAGAAAATTGTAAGGACTTTTGGAGAGTAATGGCCTAAAGCCATTGTCCTAATAAACAGCATAAAAATATCGAGAGAATTTAATGATCAATAACTAATCTTTAAAGGCAAAAGACATTAATTGAAACAGCATAAAAATATCGACAAAATGTTTCCTAAAAAGAAAAATTGACGATAAAATCTACTGTATAAGAATAAATATACTTGCATTACTTGAAAACAGATTTCCAATAGCTACTCTAACTGTATTCCTAATTTCCAATGAACTGACCAATGTGTGATCAAACTTTACCGATTATAGCATTTATGTTTAATAAGGTGAGGTGGTTAGAGACTTGAAAACGGATTGGGCATATTTATTTACCGACTACTGCAGATCTGATCTTACACCAATTTGTGGTCCATTAGCTTTTAACATACAGTTTCTAACATTTAGACAGAGATGCAAATGCTCTAAATACTAACCAATCTTCAACTGGCCAGTTATCATCAAAGAAGAGTCACAAAGAAAAAAACAAGGAGAATGGCTCCCTATATTGGATATTGTAACAAACATTCATGCAAAGAATTCCAGCTTTATACATAAGTAGATTACCCCTTCTCTACTGAATGCGACCCAAATGCAAAGCCTAAATGCAAACCAAGGGTTTAGTTTAGAGTAAATATGTGATTTCATCACAAAATTCAGAAGACAGAGAAATAGAATGGCTGAAAGCAATTTGATAGTACTCCAACAAGGTAACTATTATTCTTCATTCAAACGAAAGATTAATTTTAAAAATAAATGAAAAGATGCATTTACGAAATCAGGCTAGTTATACAAATTCCATTGCTTAGTAAGTTATCTGAGTCATAATTAAACAATGGTTTCATACTTTCATGTGATTACATATGCAATAGAATCAGGAATTTCTTACAATTGCTTCTGTTTTTCAAATTATTGCTGATGGTTACTAATAGTTAAATTTTCAATTATTCTGTAAACAGTAAAAAAGAAGTTTTATTAAATGATTAATTTAATTATGATTATTTATCTAACGTAAAAATTAAGAAACAAGTGCATATAATTTTTCAATGCAATATTGAATAGGGGAAAGTATTTACCTAATTAAACCTCTTCGTTCTCTCTCTTTTTGACAGGAAGTTCTACACCTGAACAATGAGAATATAGCTGTAATTATATATGATATTGACGAGAAAGAAAAAAAATAGTGTGTTAATTAAGAGCAAATCGAAATCATAAGAAAAAACGCTATAACTGTTAGATGGTATGAGAAAATAGATTGTAATTAACAAATAGAATTAACAAAAAGTAAAGGGATAAATTCAGCAAAAGGAAATATTAATTAATGACAAATATCAACTCATAATTAAATTCAGCAATTACAAATCCAAATTAAATAATAAATAGGAAACTAATCATTCATTGTCGTTATCTACTTCGGTTAACTCATCCCCTAAATCAAACAAGTCTCTAGGCTTAGTCTTTACAACATGAAACCAACCTTTTCGTATCTCATCTTCAATGTAGAAAACCTGTTTTACTTGAGATGAGAAAATAAAAGGATCATCTTGCAAATTTCTTCCTGAATGCATCAACTTAGAGAAATTAACACATATAGAGCCATTTTGATCTGATTTAACACCCCTATGTATGTCTACCCAAACACAATGAAACAATATAGCTTTGTAAGTCCCATAATAGTCCAATTCATATATATCCTTCACTTTCCCATAGTATGCTTCTCCATCTGCTTCAACCATGATTCCAGAATTTTGGGAAGTCAAACGGCTATCACGGTCCATGATCTGAAATTTATACCCATTGATCATAAAGCCCTTCATTTTTCTACCATAACAATTCAATCCCCCTGCCAGAATTTTTCTAAGTTTCCCATCTTCGGTGGATTCATCTATTGAGTGTACCTATCATGGTAGAATATAAAGTCAAAAACAGTCTGCTATTTTGTAAGAAAATTGAACACATTAGGATACATATATATCACCTGACTTCGCAACCACTCTCCAAACTCGTTGATGATCCAATCACTTTCATCACTTTCAGTGATTGGGTTATGTGTATTCATTTGTCGCTTTAGATTTAAAAATTCTCTTCAAAGAAAGGAAAATAAATTATAATTTATAATGATATATTATAATAATTGGTTATTCATAAAATAGAATAAAACTTGCTACTTACTCGAGAAGATCTTGAATTTCATCAGAATGATGCAGTAAAACATAACGATGAGCTTGTTTTAGGCTTTTGTCATCTAGACGGAAATTGACTTCTTTCCCAATTACTCGACCGCCAGAATTACACAAGCATTTTCCAGAATTGGGACTATCATCATCAATTCGTTTAGGTTTGTTAAAGACGGTCTTAACACCTTCAAGATATCTTGAACAAAACCTAATGGTCTCCTCTAAAAGGTAGCCTTCTGCAATTGACCCATCAGGTTGGGCTTTATTAGCTACATGTGACTTTAGATGGGCCAAGTACCTTTTCAAAAAGTCAAATTATAATTAAAATACAGTAAGTTTATAGATTTTCTAGATGAATTTAGATTAGACATATATGTAAATAAATCTAACCTCTCAATGGGATACATCCATCTGTACTGTACTGGCCCATCGAGTTTAACCTCTTCCACTAAGTGAATTAGCAAATGAACCATGATTGTGAAAAATGAAGGCAAAAACTCCATTTCCAACTCACAAAGGGTTAATACAATTCCTTCTTGAAGAGCATCTAGATCATCAGGATCAATAGCAGTGGAGCATAATTGCTTGAAAAAGTAAGACAATTTTGCAAGCAAATCAATTACTTTTGTTGCATTAGAAGCTCTTAATGCGACGGGAAGGATATCTTGCATCAAAACATGGTTGTCATGGCTCTTAAGGTTAATCAACCTTCTTTGCTTCATGTTCACGCATCTAGAAAGGTTAGATCCATAGCCATCAGGGACTCTGAGTTTTTGTAAAACTTTTAAGAACCTCTCTTTCTCCTCTACAGACATAGAATAAGAAGTTGAAGGCATATGATTATCTTGAACCCAAAGATGTGGCTTTATGCCACATCCTTGAAGGGCATCTCGATCATCCTTCTTATCTCTGCTTTTATCGGTATTTAAGAGAGTATTTAAAATATTGTCACACACATTTTTTTCTATGTGCATTACATCTAGATTATGCCTCAACAAATTATGTTCCCAATACTCTAAATTATAAAATATGCTTCTCTTGGTACCAATGACAACATCTTCTTCATTGTTACTCTCGTTACCTCTCTTTCTTTTTGATGCCTTCCCATAAACATACCCAACCTTTTCTTGTAGCCCCAATATGTCAGTCCCACTAGGCCGAGGTGGAGCTTCACCATGCTCTTCTCTTCCGTTAAAACTGTCACTCTCAAATCGATATGGATGACATGATGGAAGCCATTTTCGATACCCACAATAACAAGTCTTACTCCCAAATTTTTCAGAAGGAGTTGAATCAATGCATATAGGGCATGCCATATAGCCTTTGGTGCTCAGACCGGAGAGCATTGCATAACCAGGAAAGTCATTAATAGTCCAAAGCAAAGCGGCTCGCAATTTAAAATTTCTCTCCATCATAAGCATCAAAAGCATCAACCCCACTCCATAACAATTTCAATTCATGAACTAGTGGCTGCAAATACACATCGATGTCAATTCCGGGACTTGTTTTACCGGGAATGATAATAGACAACATGAATGAAGATGGTTTCATACATAACCACGGTGGAAGATTATAGGGAATCAACACCACAGGCCATGTACTATAAGTCGTGTTCATCAAACGATATGGATTAAACCCATCACTTGCAAGTCCTAATCAAACACTACGAGGATCCGAGGCAAAATCCTCATAACGTTGATCAAATGATTTCCAAGCTAATGCATCTGAAGGGTGCCTTAACATCTTCTTATCAACATCATTCAATTTATCATTATGAGTATAATGCCATCTCATATCTTCTACTGTTTTTTGAGGACATGTAAATTCTCTTCAGTCTAGGGATAAGAGGAAAGTAACGCATTACCTTAGTTGGCTCACCACTCGTAGAAACAGTCTTATCTTGATCTCTGACATTATCATTTCTACCCTTATTTTTCTTCCATCTTGATGTACCACAAACATGACACTTGTCTTTCTTTGAATAATCACCCCAATACAACATACAGTTATTTGGACAAGCATCAATCTTCTCATACCCAAGGCCAAGGTCTTTTATTATTCTCTTACTTTGATAATAAGATGAGGGGAACTCAAGTATTTGGGGAAATGCGTCTATGAGAAGCTCGAGTAGCATATTAAAGGATTCAGCAGACCAATGGCTCATACATTTTATGTGAAAAAGGTGTAAAAGAAAAGACAGTTTGGAAAATTTAGTACACCCGTCATACAATTTCTCATCGGAAACATCAAGTAATTTCTTATACTTAGCTTCATCTTGCGTTGTTGAAAATTCTAAATCAATCTCCTCTTCATAAAAGACAGGGTCTTCAAGATACTCGTCATTTTCATTATTTTCATGTGGTTCAAAGGTTAGGTCATTTGAGGGTTTTTCAAAACTAAAAGCAGATCTCAATAGGCTCCCATATCATCTCGACCTCCAAACCTTGTTTGATCTAGTGGGGATCCTTAGCTAGTACTACCTCCATCACACCCAATCATACGCTGAAGCAAATCCCTTGACCATGAAAAATCCATTTCTTGTATGATTTATAAAACCCGTTAAACAAGATATGTCTTTCTACATCATTTACACAAAGCCATTTATCCACTTTACATGTCTTACATGGACACGAATCTTTCCTTTTCCTTCTACCTGAGCTACCTTAGCAAAGTTAATGAATTGCATACAACCTTTGACATATTGAGTGTGGCATCGTGGAAGTTCTATCCAACTTGTATCCATATCTATACATAATTAATACTTTAATAAGGGAACTACAATTTTGACCAAATAAATAGAAAATTTTAAAGCTTACTTATCAGAACAAATATCAAATTCTTCACAAACTAAAATACACAACAAAGCAGATTGGGGTAGCATACTTTTATTTCATATATTCTGATCATAAAACTGAGGAAAGGTCAATCATTATAGCCATGCAACAGAAATAAAAGTTATAGGTATAGGATTTACTATATGAAATCTAACCTATTGATGCAATTTTCATTGCATACTATTTAAACCTCACTATATAATAATAAAAAAAATTAAGAAAAATCACCTACAATTATATAATTAAACCAATGTAATCAAAGATGATGAACTATTGGAGATACCAAATAGTTATAAGTCACTAAGTTGCTTTGTCAAAGTCATTACAAGCCATACAAACAAAATTACATGCTTACTTGGTATAGCATACAACAATTCTTAAAGCTTATCTCAAAACTAAACTGTCATAACTTGAAATAGTAGCATATAAGATGTGAGTAATACCTTGGTATAGCTGTCTTCAAGAGTCTTCTAAACTAAGCATGCAGTGACCAAAAGAATCCAAAAGGATGAATGCTGAAAAAAAAAAATCAAGCAATATCCACACATTAGATGATATATTATATAATATAAAGAATTATGTTCGAGTGACCAAAAAAAAAATTATGGGGGGGGGGGGAACTCAAAAGACACTTCAATTGAAAACAGTGATAACAAAAACAAATACGGTAATTCAATACTCAAATGCAAAGTTGACATGGGAGATAACATAGAAAAATACACATCAGTAGTGGAATCAAATTGGGAGAGTTTGAAGTTGTTAGAAAAATACTCATTGAACGAATTTACTAGGCATTTGATAAATATGGTAAACATGAGATGCTTTTCTGGTGGCTTTTGTTTGGGATACGTGGGCTTTTCATAATTCAGTGGTGTTTGGTAAGACTTGGAGCAGTGAATTATAGTAGGAGTTATGGGTTTTGTGAAACTTGTTCTCGATTTTAAAAAAATAATTAGAGAGTTTGCTATGTTCCTGGCTTCCTGCTACCAGAGCTGTGATTTATAGAAGTTATTAGCTTCCTCATGCTCCTGGTATAATAAAAATCAAAACTGACGCTGTAATGTTGGAGGAGAATGGCATGGGGTTAGGGGCAGTTTTTAGGGATGCTGCAGGTTGTGTTCATACAGTGGTGGTGCGTAGGGAAGTCTGTAGAAGTTCAGTTGAGGTGGCTGAAGTTCTCGCTGCTAGATTGGGGTTACAGGTTCCCTTGAGTCTTGGTTATCAAAAGGTGGAACTAGAATGTGATGCTGCTAATTTATGAGGTGCAATTAATTTGAAGTACTTTGGGAGGTCTGTTTTTGATCTACTGGTGGAAGATATATGTAGCTTGGGGGACAATCTTGATAGTTTTTCTTGCCATCATGTGAAAAGGAAGGGTAATACAGCAGCACTTATGATAGACTTACTCCTTCAAAGGGTCCATATCTTAACTCCTTAAGATCAACTATACGAACAACATGATTCAATTCTTAATAGTTAATTGAATCTTTTCTCAAATATTGTTTAGCGTAATGACTTTTATACTCAAAGAAATAATCACAGATATGGTAATCAAGCATTCCATGATTTAAAAAAAAAAGCCGAAATTGATGGCATAATTTATAAGACATAATACCAGCATGCTCAAAGCTCTGAATTCAAGCAGTCTGCTAAACTAACTGCTACATACATCTCTGTTCTCAGAAATTGATCACCTTTAAGAAAACTATTAAATATATCTAATTACACCTGAAAAGAATATGAGATATATTTTTCAATCAATGTCACCAAAGTCAGCATACATCTCTATTTTTATAGTTATCCCATTTAGCCAAGAAGGTAATAGACCATCACCTATTATGAATAATCAAATAATTATTCATTAACTATGGATTTAGTAAAAGCTTAAGCTCAAAACTCACAGCCAACTATAGACATTCAAAGATACACAACCGAAATTTTCATCCAGAACAATATTATATTTAGGCAGTGCTTATGTACATTACCTCCAATTCTTGAAGCCGTTTCTCCGCCTTTTTAGCTTCTGATTTTCCACTTCTTTGCACTTCAAATACCACAGCTTCTCCTCAGATGACCTGTGCGTTAATATGGTAAAAATCTGCTGGTTAATTGTAGTTGTGCATTTTGTTTCAATTTAAAAAAGAATCTAAAGTTTGAAAGCAATGTATATGACATTTAATTAAACAACTGATTGAATATGTATACATCTGAAAATTATCAAAAAGTTACAATTTTTAATAAAAATATGCATAATTCGAGACTTTAGAGTAACAATTGCAAATGGGTATCCAATTCTTTACCAATAAAAAAGTTAGAATATAATTAACCAATTCAATAACTTAATTAATTCGTTAATTCAACCCATTCCTCAACTATAATCGGAGATTATAATAATAATAATCATGC